AAAAAAAAAAAAAAAAAAAAAAAAAAAAAAAAAAAAAAAAAAAAAAAAAAAAAGTCGGACGCCCGATGCCTTTGGCACGGTAATATACTGCGGCGCTTGCTGATGTATATACTTATATACCTGTACATCCTGGCGTCTTATCCTGTGGGCATATATACACATAATATATAATATATACGTGTAAGCATGGGTCTCTATCCGATTTTCCGAGCATCGCAGTTGTGTAACACTCCTCTTTTTTTCGACAACGCATGATTACCTGCAAAGGACCTTTCTTTATTTTTTATTTTATTTTTCATCATCCGCCAACATTGGACGGGCGACGCACTGACGTAAAAAAAAAAAAAAAAAAAAAAACTGTCTCAAGCGACAAAAAAGCGCAGTTTTCTCGAGCACGTGCCGAAATGAAGTGACCCGCAAGCTTTCCTAATTATAACCGGCACGTCACATCCCCCCACGAGATAACGTTATAAAACACTTTTCTACCGCGCAAACTAATTCATTTTCCACTGCAAAAGAGGAGATGGGGAGGGTAAAAAAAGCAGGGCAAAAAAGTGAGACGGAGAAAAACTTGAAGGAAGGAGATACTTGACGAGAGAAAGAATAAGCGAGGGGGGGGGGAAAGAAAAATACAACATTAGCGTGCGGGAGTGGAGGGTGAAAGGGGAGAGGATAAGTGAGTGAGGTCTGGAGGTTTCGGCTCGACGTGCGAGGAATATTCCACGTTGGAATCGTATAAGCTGCCAGCGGGGGTGGGTATTGGTCTTCTCGGCTACGTGACGGGATTTCGGTGCACGTGTGCGGGAGGGCTAAGAGGGCGAATCGCGATTCTTCTTTCTTTACCTTGGTGCGTCTCCTTTGCATTATTGCCTTTTCTTTTCCTTCCTATAAAAATACACTGTCCTATCGACTCGCGTTTGCTTTTATTTTTTTCTCGTTTGGTTTTATTGAATTTCGGGAGGAAGGCGTTGATTCGATAGTAAGCGTACACTGTAAAAAATGCTGTAGTAAAATCACTAGCGGATAGTAACTTTTTTTACTATCCTGAGCACAGTGATTATGATATCTGATAGCGAAAACTATGTCTTGAGCATCGTAATTTCCCTAGCAATGTATTGATATGACTATCCGCTATTAAAATTAATATGCTCAGCATAGGTAACAGTGAGACCTATGCTCAGCATATTAATTTTACTAGCTGCATGACAAATACAATCGGCTATTAAAATTACAAGACAATGGAGATTCTACGTTCCGATAGTGGAAATACGTTTAACATCCCTCGGAAAAATACGAGATGATAGTAATATTACGCTCCGATATTAAAAGTACAGTGATCCAAATTTCCAAATAACACGAGATAGTAAAAGTAATATCTAGTATTTAAGTTACCATGCAGCTATTACTCTTGATGGGGGTAAGGGAATCTCGCATTGACTACATTAATGTACATATATATATTTCTACCTAATTTACGGTTCGTGCTTCGCGCTCTCGCACTATAATCAATAATTGTGATAAGGATTAAAAGTAAATTTATCATCAGTGCTCTTACAAATTCATAATCAGTAAGTATTAGGTATATTGTTTATATAGCGAAAGCATTCTGGAAAGTAAACACTTTTCAGGTTATGTATCATTTCATGACATCGTAGGTATACACCTTAGTAGACCAATAGCTAAATATTTCGGATCTCTACGAAGCATCTCGTTTCTCAATTGTATGTGAAGATGTGTCTGTGATGTGAAGAAATAATAACATAATCCTTGTAGTGAAAATGGAACTATGAACAGTACGATAGTGCTTCTCATATCCAAGATATGACTTTTACGCTTGGGATAGTAAAATTACTACGCGATCGCAAAAAATTTCTGATGATTTCGGCTTTGCTGAAAATTACTATCTTGACATTTAATTTTACTATCCGGGAAAAACATTTTACGAACCGATAGTAAAATCCCTATGCTGAGCATAGGTTTTTACTTTACCTATGCTGAGCATAGTGATTTTACTACAGCATTGTTTACAGTGTATACACATCAACCCATGTGCCACGGCTGAGTTGTTGGAGTCGATATTGCGCTCTTGGATCTTTGGATTGCGATTTGTCCTATGGATGTATTTATTTAGGATTCGCGCGCGTGGAATGTATGTGGAATCACTATACAGGAGTAACTGGGTTTACATCTTACCGTGTATAGTAGAGTTACGAATCGATGTCAATTTAAAGTACGCATTTGTCCCACTAGAACTTTGTTTATTGGTTCGGGATCTTTTTTTTCTTCCAATCGTGTATTTTTCGCAGATGGTTGTATTTAAGCTACAAATTTAACCATTGGTTGCACGATTAGATTTTTCTCGGAGAAAAAAATTCGATTGTAGCATACGTTTCATTATACGCATTATATCAGGTATAGTTTTCTGCACATCTACTTTCATCTTCTCAAATCGATGCAATTGTAATTATGATTTTTTTTTTTTTTTGTTCGCTTTTGTTTGTGAACCTTTAATTGTTTTTTTTTGTCCTACGAATTTCCTAGCACTAAAACTTCTGATGTATCAAGATGAAAAAAAAAAAAATTATTTTTAGTTTCATGGCTCAATCGACAATGGGAATGGCTCATGCAAAAGTTGCATGTCTTTAGAGGCAAATATCTTTTGACGATTATGGTTCGGTGAGAAAACATTAAAAGGGAGGACATCTCAAGCTCTGTACGCAGATCAGTCATGCTAAAAAGCACGCCTAAAGCACTGCTAAACATCAACAAAACAGCGATCACTTTTTTAAAATAACCAAGAAAAGGTAAAGAGGGTCGGGTAAGTGTATACATACCTCCACGTAAGGTCGTACTTGGTCCATCGGCTGTGGATGACGAACCTCTTGACTCGTCCTCTGTGCCTGTCCTCGGGCTCGTCTCGCATTCCGCACCGCTTTTTCCGTATCAACTCCTTGGTTGGCTCGTCCACTTCACCGGTCTCGGGGATCCCGCCGTACCTCTGCAAAATACACACAAGTTTCCACATCAAACCGACAAGTGAGACCTCCACCGGACGGGGACGATCCAAACCGTGTGTATTATGTACCATAAAACTGCTCCCCCCCTCCCCCACCGCGAGTCGCGCCAAAGTTTCGAGATGACGTCGCGGTGGCCGTGCGAATGCACAAGTCCACCGGGAAACCCGTCTGCTCGGTCGAAACTTCATAACGAGGGGACCCCGGCAAAGTTGACTTTTGGGAGGGGGGAAACTCGGCTGTTTGGTAAGTAGATTTCGCGAGGATTTTCGGTTCGAGGAAGAAACCAGGTGCACGTATGTGCATAATCCACGTTTATACGGACCAAAGAATCTCAGAGGGGAGCTTTTAACCGCGAAACAATATATACCTGGAACCCCGAAAAAGTTGTACCATGATGGGTTTTTTCTTTTTGTCGATGCGAAATTTCAAACTGCGAAACGTTACTGGACTCTACACGGGGCGGGTGAATGCGTGCGTGTCGGGAGCACGAGGTATATATATATTCCGTGGGAAATCGGCCGAAACGACGTTAGGTTTGCGGATCGAAGACGTGAGGTAACATGTACACGCGTACACGAGCGGAGGATGTCGTGAAAAATGTACGCGGTACGATCGGCCGCTGGGTAAAATAGCAGTAAACGCCGGGGCGGGAAAAGAATCGACGTCGCGTGTCGGGGTGTTATTATCGATGGGAGAGGCAGAGGCAGCGGCGAGAAGTTTTCTTTCGATATGCTACATGTTTGCGTTGGAAAAGATAACCCTTGTTTTCGGGTGCGATGTCCGATTGGTGGTTCCAAATCGCGTGTGTATGAAACAGGTTCCAAGAGGGTAACGTGCTCGGTTATAGTCATCGCAATGGAGAGTCGGGCTGTTTTTAATTGAAATTCCATGGAAAAAAAAGAGAGATTAATGCAACTATGGATTTTTTTTAGCTCGGTATGGGGTATTTAATTAAAATACTAGATCTGCGCGATTGAAAATGTATTCGAGCGAAATATCGACGGGAAATTGAAAAATTCCTTATAGTGAGGGTGCACGGGAAAAATTTCGCGAGCCTTGATTGAAACTTTATTAAATTCTAACACACGGGTGTGTACCAACAGTATAGCGTAAAAAAAAAAAATAGATTGACGCTGTAGCTCTGTCGTAAAAAGCTTTTGGAAGAAATTAAAAGACCAATTGATCGAAGCACCGTAAATCCAAGGATAAGAATTTTAAGGACAACCAAAGCTATGGTTAACCAGTTCCACCAAACTGGACACATTAGAATGGAAAAAATCAATGTAGGAAATTAAACGTGTACTTCACTCACTTCAAAATTCAGCACACTTGAATTTTACAGTGAGGTGTAAAGGAGGTGACTGTATTAAATTAAAATACATGTGAAGCGCATGTACATGATTGTAACTTCGCCCTTATTATAGATAAGCGTCGTTTTACCGATACCACCGTTTCACTCGCAAAGTCGAAAAAATGCTGTCGAAGCGGGCCTATCGAAGTGCGGTGTAAACATGTGCAATGATGAAAACGGGGTCGAGCATCATTTATTGCCGAGATACGGCAGGCTTTGCGGGCTTCTGTTTTTTTCTATCTCGGGTACTCGAAAATTATTCTCAAAATCCAGGCTTAAAGCTTTTCGAGGGTTTTCGGCCTATACAGTAGAGGGAATTGTGTTTTATTATTTACAGTGACGAGGACGGATTGGATGGATCGACAGCGCGAAAAATGGAAAAAATGAAAACTGGGCGAAATATAGGTACGCGCGCTACTTTTGTTTGGCAAGCGTGCGGAGGAATTTTTTATTTTTTAATTTTTTTTTTGTTCGATGATGATGGCTAACGGATATTTGAGTGTTTTATGGATGAGTACCTTCACTTTTTCTTTCTTTCTTTCTTTTTTTTTTTTTCATTTTTGTCAGACATTAATGAAAATGTGTACCTGTTGTGTATATATATATAAGGGGAGTAAACGTCGCAGTCAGCAAGATAAAAGTTGGTACATCGAAAGGTGTCTCTGTATTGAAATTTTTCTTTCTTTTTTTTACCGTATTGTTGTGAAAACTATGCTGCGTGCACGATGAATCACGTGAAAATTTATCAGAAATTGTGGAAAATGGACTTTTTCCATTAAAGCTTCTGCCAACAGAGATGATTAATTAGGAGGAGCTTTTAAATATGATACTCGTTCAGTCAAACAATAAATTGCTCATCGGAAAAGTCACGCGTGCGATTGAAGCTCATTCTTTTAATTTTCCTATCTTCGACAAATATAATGATGATGTATATATATTTTTCTTTATTTTTCTTTAAAATTTACAAGTAAAATGTATGGATCCAAATAATGTGCCTGGACCAAAGCTACAGAGTTATTTTTCGTAGTAATTATTTTACTTTTTCAACTTTTGGTACAACATATCAATTGGGTCTCGCGCCAAGTCCCCGTGAGGTGTGACACTCTAGCGAATCGGGTGATGGGTATACATCGCGTTGCACTACTTCGATCAGCAAAAAGATAATACACTAACCTGCAAGCTTCGAAGAGCCTCGGTCACCTGGTCGTTGGTCCTGAGATTCCCGATCTCCGAATCCTCCTTGGGCAGATAGCCGAAATTCATGAGATACCTTTGCTGCAACAGACAAACCAAAAGCAGGAAATTACATCACCGAGCTCCTGTCCGTCTCCCGCTCAACTTAGCCATCCAATCTCCGGTATACAGAGAGAAATAGGAAAGAGGTTGCGGGTATATACACATATGTATTACATGAATCGCATTTCGCGCGTCACAGTGCCCGCGTAAGGAAGCATGACGTAACGCCAATCTCTCTCATCCCTTGGGTGTGTACATAGGTATCCATCCCCTCCTGTACAATTTCCGTGCCGCGCCACCACCGCGTGCATAATGAATCCCGAGTTTGCTCGATCGATAGGGTGTGCATGGATATAACACGGTACAGCGGAACCGAGCAAACGCGCGTACTTCTGCCGTACACCACATTCGTTCGTATCAATAGTTTTTTTAAACCCTAATTAAATTAAACGCTCGAAAATGTCCGTGTCGGAGAAAAGGTGTAACGTTTTCACCCGTCGGTGTATATAAGTTTGAAGATCTAAATTATTTCACGGGGGCGTTTGAAAAGTACGTAAGCGAGCTTTAAATGGATTCCGGGAGCAAGTATATATAGCAACGTGTGCAGTAGCGGATCAACCGGCTCCTTTTTCTCCCGAGCTTTTGCCCACGCCGTGCGCAACGAGAGCTCCATTTGCCTATATACATATATACGTCTGGGATGTACGAAGGAACTAGCATCAGCGACCGAGGTATATACCGTATAGAGCGTCAACAAGCCATTAGGTAGGTACTCCTGCGAAAACAGCTAGAGTCCTTAAAAGCAAGATAACTCTCTGGATTCTCTCGGCACTGCTTGCCTAAACTTTCAATAAGAGTGTATTTATATGTATATGTATAGTCGGCGCTGTCGCCTAAACGTCTCTCGGCTCAACTTTCCTCCTCCACTTCCTGCGATTTGTTGCTGGTTCTACGGAAATTCGCTTGGTATACTGAATGAACGCCATCGACAACTCAACGACTCTATAGGCATCATCATCATCAATATTTAAGCGCAGCTTTGCAAAGCTCTGCTGTGTACAACATCAGGGGGAAAGAATAAATCGGCGTAGAGCAGCGAAATAATAGGAATTTTCACTTGGGAGGGAGTCACATGATGACTATTTTTGTACGGTGCAAAGTGTACAGACATATATATGCGTGTGTGTATATATATATATCCGATTGGTGGGGCAAAGGGGGATGGGGGAGAGGCCGTGGAGGAGTCCTTTCTGCGAAATAGCGCGCCGCACCGGAAGCCACCCGGACGGAATAACAATGTCGTCGTCGCGCTCTCTGATATGGCTCTTCTCATTACTCGTTTCGCAGGCGATGGGTGTTATACGCGCGAGACTCGAAAATTTAATTTGGCAATCGGCTCCTCGGTGCGTGCAGCGTGTGTGCGCGCTGCTTTTTCCAAGTACTCGTAATTGCAAACGCGAGCCAACGCGCCTTCGCAATTAAAATGACGCGTCGGCAAGCGCGTCCACAAAACCCCTGGAGAGGAGAGGGGTTGTTTTTTTTTTCTCTTCTCCCTCCCTTTACTTTCCTCCCGCACACTCCTTTAAATGCGTTTAATTTCAAGAGCAGTTCCCCCATTACGACGAGGGGACTGTCAAAGAGTTGAAATTGTTATTACATGTCGCTTTGGAGCGTTTAATCGTATCCCGAGCTATTAAATTGACTGGATTTACTTTTAAAAGGTTACACCTCAAGTGGTGTTCAAGCTCAGCGGGTGGCTACTATCTTATTATTTTTTTTTTTGGGGGGGGGGAGGGGGAAAGGGGTAAAAAAAAAACAAAAAATTATACCTGAGAATCTTTGTTGTATCGACACTACCACGAGTAATACAGTAAACATATAAGACATAACACGTTGTTTGTATGTTCACGTGTGCATGGACAATACACCTCAAAAAAGGTATCGAAATTTTAAGGGGTGTGCGACGTTTCAGATCACAACACGCACCCCCCGCGGACGCTCGCTTGGTGCTCATTGCACTTTGCCTCGAGACAATACACCTACACATATGGGTAACCGATAATAAACGATTTACAGATCATTCGCGATCATCGTGGGCATCGCAAGAACGCGGATACCATCATTTTTACGATCCAGTACGTGTATGAGCCGAGAAAAACTCATCAGAAGCACGCTAATGAGGGATGAGCTCGACCATCCCTCACGCGTCATTCACCGGGTCCATCGGCATCGTGATTAAAAACTATCAGTACGCTGCAGCGCTAGCATCCAACTATCCGAGAAATTTCCAATCAAGTGCTCGGAAGAGCAGATCTTGACGGCATGATATACTTTTTCCCCTCGATGACCCGCCGGTGTACACGGCCGGCCATCGATTATCTCCCTCCCCCCTGCACTCCTTTGTCCGACTTGCTTCGGATTTTGCAACAGTTGCGGCTATTCGAAATAGAAAGGGTAGACAGGATTAACAAGTGAAACGGGGTATCTTCATCCGTTAAATGGGTTATTTATTTTTTTTTTTTCCTTTCACCCACGTTTTGGTCCAAAGTGCTGATTAATCAATTTCCATTGAATCCAAGCTCCGGACGAGCGCCCGAGAAGTACCTTTTCCCATCAAATCATCCTCGATGGGCAAAAGCGATACAAGCTCCGTGCGCGCACGTCTCGAGGTACACCGTACGCCTTTACCATTAGCGTATACATCACCCAGCCACGAGCCATTTGGGCGATTAGGTACGCGCATCCGATATAGGTATCATCACCAAATCTGCTCCTGAAAGCTTCGCTTGGATACATTTGCACGCAGCGAACCCGAGCTTTCGGATGAATATGCAAATAGAAGAGCTTGCAAAGGGTGGAATATCCAAATAGCTGGCGACCCCCTTTTTTTGCCGTACACACACAGAGTTCGCAGTGAGCTACAGAAACGAGGTTGAAGTTGCACCTCTCTGGTATGCGGACAATTATTATTAGATTCGCGAGGAAAAAAAAGGCAAGGGACCCCGATCGCGCGAAATATGGATTTCGCGTTTTATGAAATCGGCTGGTGGTGGCTGACTCTGGCTCACACGGTTATTTATTTATTTTTTTTTTTTTTGGTCAGTCGAGTCGAAAGTCATTGCTTTTCCGTATAAATATGGTTGACCAACCCTTCCTCCCATCGCTCCGTCGGGGCTGTATACTCCAGCTCGGGCAGATATTTGCGAGACAGCGATTCATCATTCCACCGGTGCGGACAGTACACGCCTGTCAGGAAACACTTTGGCAAGCAAATCTCCCGTGAATGACTCTGGAGTATCGAGAAAAAGAAAAAAAAAACACCCCATGCCCGTCGCACGTGTCTCGTCTCGACTGTATGAAAAATGTGCTCCTCTCGCTCTCTCGCGTTGTTTCACTCTGTATGACCACCACCACCAGCTCCAGCGCGTCCTTTGAAAAACGATCTTTCTCCCTTCGATAATCCTCTCGTGTGCTATATGTAATAGTTATACCCTACTCGCGTCCGTCCTGCTAAAACGTCGTTTCGTGGAAAAGGGCTCTATGGTATTCGTGCAGCCATGCACGCGAAGGGAAACAGGAAGAAAGACATGGCACACGTGTCAGTGGGCCAGACAACGACGTGTCTCTTTAATCTATAGCCAAGCACGTTCCTTGATATTAAATAGGCGCTTGGGATTTTTAACTTTTTTGTTTCCCTCTTTTCTTTTCGGGTCGAATTATCATTTTGTTGATTCATCACGAGCACTTGAATTGTGTTTCTGAAATTCATTTTTCAACCTTAGCCAACGATTGTTTGTAGAAATAAAGAAAGAAAAAAAAAAACAAAAGAAAGAAAGAAAGACACTGTGGCCTGGTGTACTCCGAGACAGAGTGACTTCAGAGTCGAGTCCGCTTCGAACTTATCCTGTCCCCTCGTTTGAAAGACAGCGAGGAAGAAGAGTAAAAAGTTGCGGTCCACGGCAAATTCTTCCCGAAGTGGTCGTCATTGTCGTCTCCCCCCCCCTCTCTCTCTACGGACTGTATACTCGTGGCAGATATCCACATTATATAATGATACTTCTGTCTGGTGAACGAAGTAGTCCCGATAAACAAGCGTATACGTAGGAAAAGCGACGATACGCGCTGTTTTTTCGTGGAATGGTGCACGAGAGGGAGATAACGCAGTATCGAGGGCTGCGGGACAGGAAACTTTGATTTAGGTCATTTCTGGACACACACAAACACACCCTCATCGCTACGGTACCCATTTGTCACGAGGGAGTGTACGTTCGTTCCAAACATGCGCACGAACAATCCACGCCAATCAACCACACATACGTGAGGGTTTAATATACAATCACATTTTGCACTTGATGGCAAAAGTAGGGGGAAAAATATCTTGTTTCCCAGCAGCGGCTACATCCTCGGTATGATATTACTACACACGTACATAACAAAGCAGCCTTTTCTTTTACATCCTATATCCTTTTGGATACAGCTGTATATACATGCATGCATCTGCCGTAAATGGCCAAACGTCCGCACACCAACTCGGAGGAGAGACACGAGAGATCGGTATTCGTTGACCAAACGCGGCTCAGCCGTATACATTAAACGTATACCCCCCTCTGTTGTCTCTGCTTATCTCTTTTTTTTCCCCAGTATATATAAATCATGCCAACTACCGTCTCTCTCTCTCTCTCTCTCTCTCTTTGCGTCTCTTTCGTTTTTTATCGTATATACAGAGTCCGTGGCATGTGCACGCGCTCGGATCGCTCCCTGTTATGCTGCACTTATGTATATGAGCACTGACTCTGGCTTCCCTTCATCGGCGACGCCGATGTGTGCACGTACAAGTGTGTGTACTTTCGATTCGCGCTCCTGTTCTGCAGACGCGGGGGAGAGAGACGCTCGAGAGATCGAGATGCGAGCGCTGGAATAACAAGTTTGATTCAATGAGGTTGCACAAGATAAAAACTCGTTTGTTTGATTTTTTTTTTTTTTTTTTTTTTTCTCTTCGTATTTTGCTTTCATTTACAATAATCAGAGACGTTGAAATC